AATATACCTTGAACAAGAAGTATTTTTACTAAACATTACAACTGAAATGAAGCAATTATTTTTTGTCTTCACTTTCATCCATTTAGATTTTATACAAAGGTGTTACTTGTTCACAACTTTTACAGAGGGAATAATAAATGGCCAACAAATGTGCTATGATCATTCGAATTGTCAAAAATCCAGGTGTTTTCACGCAGTCTCATGTAAACCTGGTCTCCAACTTCAAGCTGCAGCGTCATCCCATTGGTTGCTGTCTCAAAACGATTTCCAGCAACATGATTGACGACACTGACCATCTGCTCTCCATTCTTCATCAGATGCAGGCCCATTGATTTAGATGAATGATTATGTCCAGAGAAGCTGAAGTAATAGACTCCTCTGACAGGAGCTGTGAAAATACCTGTGGATGATCAAAGAGTTGTTTATGGTGACCTTAATGGCTCTGCCCGCCATTATAAAAAACCTCTAAGTATTTAAGTCTAAGTCGGAGATTGGAGGTGTATGCAATTTATGTCAACACATATGCAGTGAATAACGCATTTAGGTTTTGTGACTTAATGATGATGTAATATTGCATATTATTTTAAAGGTTTAAAGTAAAAAATACTTCAAAATGATTAATTTGAATTTGTTCTTTTTTTTATGGTAAAAGTTGTATCTTAACCCTTGTGCGTGTAAGGAGTGAGCCAAACGTGGAGGACTGTGGCAAATGATACAAGTTTTACGTGTGTGGGGTCGGTTGGACCCCATTTGTAAACGCCAGCGTTAAGCCTGGTCTGCATGTAGGTCCTCCTTAACATAATCTCACTGTTCTACGTGACAGACAATAATATGTCAGTCTATAATATGTTAAGTATAAAACTTTATGCCAAACTCTCAACAGTATTTATACACATTAATTTAATTCACAACCACAGTAAAACGTGGTTTACGTGCTATGATAAGTTTACCTGTTCCCTGGTTGAATGATCCTGTGTTCACGTAGACCTTTTTGTAGACCAGTATGGTGTGGGTATTAAAAGGTCCAATATTTCCACCTACACTTATGGATGCACCAAATGCTACCTTGTTGCCTTAAGGAAAAACAGAAAAAAATGTTCATTATGAAGTTCATTAAATCTCTATATGATAAAATTTACAGGTGAAGAAATTCCAAACCTGCTGCTCTTACCTTGAACCTGTGACTTCAGGACCTCCATTTCTTTCTGAGTGTCTCTAAGTTTGGCTTCTAGCTCTCTTAAGATGACAAAAAGTTGCCCAGTGGTTTTCTGGCCAGTGGCTGCGCCACAGTCTTGGCCACCAGGTGACTGAATGATGCCATCATCTGTGTCACTGGCCTGTCCTGTTGGCTGATTGGTGACTTCAGCCATACACACATAGAGGGAAAAAAAAGTTAATGCAGCCACAAAAATCTTCAACCTGAACTATTTCTGTTTGTGGGTGTCTCTGCTGCATCAGTTCTCCTCACTTGTTTATATACAAGGCAAACAAGGAAGTAGCCTAGTTTCTTTGCTGCTTCCTGGTCAAAGGTTTCTTAAGTTAAACTTTTCCAACTCTTGGGAATTTTATTGATTTACTCTCTTTCATAGAGGCACTATTATATCCCTTGTTGCATATTTCTAAATCTTCCGATACTGCTACTGATTTATTTGATAATTTGGAGAAAAATTAGAATTTTGTCATAAGTCATTTGACATTTCATGCAAAGGAGGACAGTATGTTTTTCTCATTCCTCTAAGTATTTAAGTATGTTTTTCTCATACCTCTAAGTATTTAAGTATAAGTCGGAGATTGGAGGTGTATGCAATTTATGTCAACACATATGCAGTGAATAACGTATTTAGGTTTTGTGACTTAATGATGTAATATTGCATATTATTTTTAAAGTTCAAAGTAAAAAATACTTCAGAATGATTAATTTGAATTTGTTCTTTTTTATGGTTCAATGATATAAACCCTTCTGTGTTGTAAAT